ACAATGCCATACAGAACAACTTCCACAGCTGCCATTTTCTCCAGGGGAACTGTTCTCTGTTGTAATTCCAGGAGATCTCCCACCACCTGGAGGTTGGCAACCCTATCTGTAAGTTGTTGTGGCATGGAGTCTATTAGTTTCAGTTTCTTTGCTTGTGATTTTGTTTTGGCTAGTTAAATAGCTAGGACTGGTGTTGTAGACAGGAGCCTTTCCCCTGTTTTTTATTGGTATCGTTTTGTGGTGGAACAGTATTCAATCTTTTGGCCTTTATGCTTAGGAATGAAAAGAACAAGCCCAGTTTTGATCTTCATTCCTTGTTGCTGGAAGGCCTCTGAACAATAATGAGCTGGCTTTCAGAAGAGCAGCTGTAGGTTTCCTTGGGAGATTTCAACCTACTGGCCATCCAATCTGAAAGAGTCACCAGAGACTCTATTAGCATGTAATGATAGTGTCCCTGCAATGTTGGCATTTCCATCATTCTCTGGCCTGGTTGCCATACTCTTCTGTCTTAAGCCCTTCACTGGCTGCTAGTGAATCTTCAGATTCATTCATTAGAGCAAAACTTAATATTACTTCTGTGATGGTCACTTGTATAGATGACTTTTCATTGTCATGTGTTTAGCCTTACGAACAGCGCCATCCTACATCCATTGACTTCAATGCCTTAAAAGGGTGTAGTTCTGCTCAGAATGGTATTGTAAATGTTATGGGAGGGAGGGAGGGAGAGAGACAACAGCCATAATTCTGCCGTTAGTACAGTGCACCTCAAAGCTGACAAGCTCTTGCCCCTTTCTGGTGAAATCTTCCATTTTGCCTTCTCCCCAAACTAGAAGTTTCACTAGGAATCCCTCTGTACCTCCTACAACAACTTGTGCCTGTCTATCTTGCACCCACACTTATGCAGACAGGGGGAAAATTCTAGTCAATTAAAATTTTAATTTTCTACGTAAACAAATGAATTTTCCTTCTTTCTTGGGACCCCCAAGGACATTACAGAAAAATGAAATATGTGGGTAAGAGAAGTTCAACCCTACACCCTCACTTGAGATCCTGCCAGTATCCTGGATGGGTTCACATATACAGTTGACCTCGAAAGGACAATTCTTCTTCGTAGGCAACTCCCCTGGTGGTCCAGTACAGCACCATAAATAGTCAAGTAAAGCCCACAGAATCAGGCTTTATGTGAGCAGATTACATTCCTTTATGTGAGTAGATTACATTTCTAATAGTGTTGCAACAAAATGTACGACTAAAGAGGAGGTGATGGAAGACAGGTGCACTTAGTGACCTGCTAGACCAGAATACTTAGCAGGTCGACGTCTGCTGGTACAAAAGGTTATACATGATGTCATCGAATATATTTATATAAATGAAACAAAAAATATCTAGGAGCTCAGCAGCCCATATTAAGGTTGTAATGGAGATATTGCAACACACAAGAAATGCAGCACAAGATGCATCATACATAAATACAACCAATTTGGGGTCTTCTCTATGTTGACAAACTAGGGTTACCAGATGTCCCCTTTTTAGAATTTTTTGGTGTCCATCCTCTTTTGGGCTCTTTTTTAAAAACTGATGAAAATGTCCTCTTTTTTGGGTTGAAAAGTTAGGAATATTCCTAGTTAGTAGCAATTATCACATCTTAAATAGTAGGGGTATTTTAAAAAATTTGTCATAGTGATCACTTGTTTGAAGTAGTCAGTTGGGAAATATGTCCTCTTTTTTTGCTTTTAAAAATATGGTAACCCTAAACAAACTTTTGAGGGAATTGTTTATTTATATGCCCTGTTTTGGTAATTTCCTTTTATGCTTGCACAGGGAGGGAGGGTGTTCTTTTAGGAATGGTGCTGATCAGTGTTCCCTCTAAGATGAGTGTGAGCTAACTCAAAGATTTTTAGCCTCCAGCTCACGCATTTTTGTCTTCGCTCAGGAAGGAGGGCTCCAGAGCAAACTGATTTATGCCGTAGCCAAATTGCTCGCTCACGACTTTAATGCCAGTTGCTCACAAAGTAGAATTTTTGCTCACAAGACTCCACAGCTTAGAGGGAGCACTGGTGCTGATAGGTTGTGGATAGTTGATTTATTGTGTGGTATGGGTGGGCTCAATTATTCACATGGAGGCGAGGGTGACTTCCATGCAGTGCTGTGTGGTTTTCTTGTGCCACATGTGTGTGTATGTGTGAAGCATTATGTTACCACTACTGATGATCAAACATTAGCACTACAACATCCTGAATTTCTTGTATTATGTCTGAGTTACAAATTTGTATGGGCTATAGATATGGAGCACAGGATTACCTTGCACTTCGTATTTATAAGGACCGGAAATTATTTTCAACTCCCTAGAGAGGGTTAGCACATTTTTAGATCATTGGGCCCTTGAGGTCTTTATTGTGCTATATTTTTAAAGAAAATTCAGTTGTGGCCTTGCAACCCCCTTCCCCCCCTGACAACTAGATACGACTAGCAAAATGCTTTAGAAGTCCCAAGCTATAGCCGCACATTTTCTTAACTAAATTATGTCAATACAGTCCCCTTCTTTCTCCATAACCTTTCATCTGACTACAGTCTTGACAGCTTTTCAATACAATTATACCAACACAAATGAACCCTTTCAACCATCAGTTACAAAAGCCAGCTGCTCAAAAAGCTATTATGAAATGATTACCAGAGTACTGAAGTTGCATTAAGGACAGACTCATTTGCAAAAGATTTGCCTCTTCTCAGACACCAGGAGGACTGCAGCCGAAAATGTAGCAGTGGTTGTTGCTCAAATAGACTGCTGGCTTGGGCTGGTTGCTTTTTCCCATCCCGTGCTCATGTGTTTCTGTGTTCCACACAAGCCTGGCATTGCATTTGGCATCCTAGATAACAATGAATTCAGGAAAAGTGCTTTTTCAAATCGTTTGTATGGCCAGATGACCCCCAGGTCTTTCCTTTTAAGTCTGCACTTCTCAACTACAAGTCCTCCATTTTGGCTAAAGATAGAGGAAGAAAGTTTACTGTTATGAATGGATGGCTTCTCCTGAGGCTTGCACCACAGTGTCAGTTTCATTTCCCCTAAATTGAATGGAACTTGTTATCGACTTTTGGTGTATGCTACCCTCCTGGTGTATGCTACCCCTGTAGCACAACCTACGAGTGATTTATTCGTTGCTCTAAAGTATCTCTAGCACAGTGTTTCAGCAAGCACATTCCATTAATGAACATGGCAAGTGCAGGCGCCAACACATCTTCTCCCTGTGTGAGACCAGTTTATTGCGTGACCCCGGCTGGCATCACTTCCCTCCGTACAGCTCAGAATGCCACAGAAAGCAAAATGTGTGTTAACAGCAGAGTGATGGAAGTTTAGCACTGCAAATGTAATCGACCGAAATGAAGGCACATTCTGACTGAGGGGAAATCAGCAAGTCAGAATAGGTTTCTCTTTCCTGGCGCCTCTCATAAAACACACTGAACAGCACCTATTCAGTCAAGGCACGCATAGCCTCTGTGATACACAAAATCATAGGTATCATCCACAGCCTCCTTTCCATACGATGGGCATGACCCAGCCAAAGTGAAGTGCTATTAAGTTCCGCTGATTTGAACTGCAGAGTTAAGGTCACATCTAATTCTCTCTGTCCTGAAATAAACAGGATTTTAAAGTGCTTAACTTTGGCTTGATCACCACTGCTCTGCTTAGCATCAAGTATGACAGATTCATTTGTGGTGCTGCTACACTTACCTTGACAGTTACCAAGAGACCCTTTCCCTCAGGAGGCAAGAGAAGCCTTTCAAGGTAGACTGAAGCAAGCCTCCTTAAACCAGGATTTAAATTTAGAATTTAGCTCCTGTTCCAGATACTTTGTACAGGATGAGCTGTAGCACAACCTACGAGTGATTTATTCGTTGCTCTAAAGTAATGCTGCACCTCGGACACTCATTATCTACATGATATAGACTACTCAAGTACTTAAGTATATAGTGTGTTGTTCAGGGGACTGCATATTCAGTTGTGGGGGATACTTCCAATGTTAGATTTTGCTTACACTGAAATCCCCTTTTTTGGTAGAAAATACTAAGCGATGCAGCGTAACAGTCTCTCTCACACACACAATCACTCTGCACTGAAGCAATTTCCATGTACAAGAAAAGTCATGCTTGACATTTTGGATGCCTTTGAGACCTGAGTTCCAATCTTTACATAGATTTAGACATGCTCTCAGACAACTAATTATTTCTGAACTTCACTGCAGATCACAGAATGAGCTCTGTCTCCAATATAAGGTTCTCATGAATGAGACAATAATTGGAAAGCACTTCACAACTTAACAAATGGACAACAGAGGAGTGATAACCTTATGAGATTCTGGGGTCATAAAAGATCCTGCAGTATCCCTTTGGAGGCTCTTCCAGAATCTAGTTACAGGGCTGACTTTAAAAACAGGAAAGAGGCTGTTCACCTGTCTCAGCACTGTATATTCTGACTAGCTCTCCAAGGCCTCTAAGCAAAGGGATCTTCTAGTCCTGCATTCTGATATCTTCTCTGTGGAGGAGAAGTGGAATCCTTTGTGCTTGCCGGGCAAGTATTGAGATGGCCAGTGGCTCTTTCTCATCATGGAAGGTAAGGCTCAGCCACATCACCTGTTTCAGTGCCAGAGCTAGATGATACAAAATAGGCCCCCTAAAAGAGAGTACCTCTGAGCACCTACAGAGTGCCGGTGCACCAGCGCCAAGTAGCACCAACAACACCTCTAGGAACTTGGAGGTGTGTCAGCTCCAGTTCTTTTGTTTCCTGAAAGGAACATTCAGAGCTGGCAAAGGGAGAGAAAGTGATTTGGAGGGAGAGCGGCTTTCTCACCAGGGCTCCTATTCCCTCTGGGCACCAACTAGCACCACCTCACCCTCCGAATCTGCTGGGGCGTTTTTTGGTCACAGATATGGAGAGCTCCCAGTCCACCCTGACCCTCATAACTCCACACACACACACACACCGCGCGCTCTCGCTTTCTCACCTGTGTGGTTATTTGGGGCATTACTGCTGTCCTCTCGGATCACCCCCGTCCTTGACACATCGAGAATAGAGGCAGTGGCTGTTTGCATGGCGCCCTCTGCCCCCTTCCCACGAGCCGCGGAGTTCCTCGCCCGGGAGGGGGGGGGACGGGACTGCCTAGTGGGTGTAGCCTTTGCTCCCCTCGCCAGCCTCTGCCTGCTCAGGAGAAGGCAGGATCCTCCGCCAAGCCTCTCCCCGCAGGCAGGGGATTCACCCGTCGCTGCCGCCTCGGAGGGGCTCCCTGCTCGGTCTGCGGGATGGGGGGCTCGCCTCGAGCTGGCCGCCCAGCCTTCCCCGACGCCGCCTGGTCCACTCGGCTCGGGGATCGACTCTCTCCACGCCTGCCTCCTCGGTGGACGCGCACTTCGCCCGGCTTCCCCCTCCGCCTCCGCTGAGCTGCCGGCGAGCAAGTGGCGGCGCTGTGCACCTGGA